ACACACACATATATATATACACACTCACGCATATATATATATATATATATATATATATATATATGTACATTTTATATAAAATACATACAAACACACACACATATATATATATATATATATAATATTCAAGTATGCATGTACGTTTGCAATTATGTGTATACGTACGACGTATGTTCGTAAGTAAGTACGTTTGTATGTATGTATGTATGTGAGAATGAATATATATACATACATACATACGTACACCCACATACGCACACACACATATACAAGTACACGCACAAGCACACACACACACACAACAAACACAAACACACACACACACACATATATATATATATATATATATATTATTTCATATACAATATACAACGATAATAGACACAAGAACCGAAACTAGAAGTACTCGTAAACAATATTAAACTTTACACAACACTCGAAATTCATCTATGTGTCATTCAGCGGCAATAGTGCCGAATTTACATGCACATACACTTATTACAAAGAACAAACCAACGCCAATGTCCCAATATGAAGATTTAAGTAAGCTACAGTCAGTGCACACTGATGATGAAGCTTTTGACCCTAATGCAATGTGCTGTGGGGGTGCACTTCACACGTGGATATACCTTGCGGCGTGTAGATGTCCATCAAACTCGCCTGTAGATTGTTGATCAGTTGCTGTTTCGAAGTCATTTTGCGGTAGGATTAGAAGAACAAGAAAAACGAGACTCTGAGCATTCAATAGTATGTCTGATTCTGATGTATTAGTAAACTGTATACTGGGTGGTGCTTCTCTCTGTCTAATAATGTTCAGCAGTGCATTGGTGATGAACACAGTGTATGTCTGTATGGTCGTGCAGTGTCCGTCTCTCCCTCTAGTAGTAGTAAGTTACGTAGTAACCGAAACATATTTTAAATATTATTTATAGTACAGCACATGTCTCTTTTAAAAAAATTCAACATCCCTCATACATAAATACCTCTCTGCATTACACTTCTGTCTATTTTTGAAATCACAAAAAACAAAACAAAACAAAAATACAAATAAATATAGATGAACCAATAGGATTTCTCTTCTAGACTCTTCCTTAATTATTTTGTAAAAATAAACAAATATTCAGGGAGGAGCAACTCACAGATGAAAGCATTGTCCAATAAAAACACAAAGTAAAGTGCTACTGTGGTCCACCCCACTGACCCACCCGAGTCACCTGACAAAGCGATGATGACGTGTATTACTATATATGTACATATATATAGATGTATTTATATATATATATATATATTACGAGGTAAATATGATACCGATACAAAAGTAATTAAACACGTACATATATGGCTGCACTGCTGCCCGACTCATCCATACTGAACACTATTTGAAACAAATAGCACAACCACCTGACCTTCGCACACAGTGAATGTACTTTCATCGCTCTATCAACCTCTCACAACACAGTGTGCTTGTATTTATAAACTAATAAACTAGACAACCAGCTCAAACCTCAAATTCATTCCATTCAATCGCGAACACCCCCAAATACCACACCATGAAAGACGGAAAGGACGACGACTCTGGCAAGAGCAGCATGACTGTGGCTGAGTATGTGGCCGAAGCATTAGCCACCGCAGGCGTGGAACTAGTGTTTGGTGGGCATGGAGGTGCCGTGATAGCGCTCGTGAATGCCATCGAGAGGCATCCCAAGTTGACATGGTAGGTTGGTGTAAAGTTCAGAGAGGTTAATGTTGGGGTGGTCGTGTTTGTCGATTGAATGCAGCTTGGGGAGAGAAGGAAAGGCATTCACAAGATTGTACCGGAGTCGTGTTCAATTGTGTAGTTAGTCGTTTTTGACATTCGGCCGCACGTGTATATGCTCTCCTGAGCGCCAAGAGATGCATCGTTGTTAGCTGCTGTGCATCTTTCTGTGTGAATAGGAGCTGTGCATGTATACGTTTATCTTCACGGCAAGAGATGCATCGTTGTTAGCTGCTGTACATGTTCCTGTGTGGATAGAGCTATGCATGTATACATTTATCTTCACAGCACAGAAGCCTGTAGCTGAAGCTGGGATGGTGTCGTGATAGGGATAGTTGATTCTCTGAGCGTTTGTCTCAAAGAAGCTCTTCAGGTACGAGTGGAACGGCTACTACAACGTCTAATGCCTGATACTACTTCTCAAACCCGTGTTGTCTGCACTATGTTGTGAAACGCCGAAGCAATGGTCCGTTTCACATGCGTTTTATGATCTGGGATGGCTTTTGTTTGTTTGCCGTTTAGTTTCGAATCCTTCGTACAGGACGCATGCCGTTGACACTTAACGCTGCCCTGTGTATCTATTTAATACTAGGCACTTTAACTTGTAGAATGTAAAACAATTGCACACATGCTCGTTGCTACGCATCTTCACCTCGTATATTGGATGGACGAAATAGGTATATCATTGACTTATGATATACACATATGAATCATTGCCTTTTGATATCATATGAGATATTGACTTGTTGTATATCTAATGAACATATGTACATAGACCACATTTGAATCATTGACTTATAATATCATATGAGACATTGACATATAATATATCGAATGAACATATGTACATATGCCACATATGAATCATTGACTTATAATATCATATGAGTTATTGCCTTATAATATATCTAATTATGAATCATTGACTTATAATATCATACGAGTTATTGCCTTATAATATATCTAATGAACATATGTACATATGCCATATATGAATCATTGACTTATAATATCATATGAGTTATTGCCTTGTAATATATCTATTGAACATGTGTACATAAGCCACATATGAATCCTTGACTTATAATATCATATGAGTTAGTGCCTTAAAATATGAATCATTGACTTATAATATCATATGAGTTATTGCCTTGTAATATATCTATTGAACATGTGTACATAAGCCACATATGAATCCTTGACTTATAATATCATATGAGTTAGTGCCTTAAAAATATATCTAATGAACATATATAAATATACCACGTGTGTCATTGCCTGGTATTACATCTATTACCGGTATATAAGTGGTTGCAAACGCACCTCCGCTTTTCTTTCTCACCATGCACGCACCCAGAAGTCTGTTATCCATTCCGGGGTCTAAACCCTAAACCCTAGTACCACCATAACCCAAGACCAACTGACTTCTAATCCTGAACCGTCTGGGCACCTGTGGCCCATTTTCCCCTTCAGGGTGTGCATGAAGAACGAAAACAACGCATCTCTCGCCGCCGCAGCCCAGGCTAAACTCACGGGGCGTCTGTCCTGTTGCCTAGCAACGTCGGGGCCCGGCGCCACCAACCTGACCACAGGCTTAGTAGCGGCCGTGAAGGATGGTGTGCGTGTCATCTGCATCACCGGCATGAAGCACTCGTGGAAGGTTGGCTACGCTGACTTCCAGGACTGTAACCAGACGGAGATCTTCCGTGCGGGTGGGGTGGACAATAGCTACACCATCCTGCACAAGAACAGCGTGGTGCCGCTCATGCGCAACTCCATTGCGTGCGCCTACGAGAAGTACACGGCTGTGCACGTGGCTATTCCGGTGGACATCCAGACGCAAGAACTCATCACACTCAAGCCAGGAGAGACGGCCAGGGCTGTGTTCCAGGAGATACACAGGTTCACAAGCATCCTGCCGGCGTCGACGAGGTACCAACGCACCAAGGTAGTACCGTCCTCCCACTCTCTGGATGTCGCATCGGAGTCCATTGTGAACAAGGAAGCGCTCAGAGGTGGGCGTAGGCGTATCATCATAGCGGTAGGCAGTCTGGCAGTAGGTACAGGGGTGCACGTGCTGCGGCTGGCGGAGGCTCTAAACGCACCTGTCGTGGCCAAACTGGACGGCAAGGGCATAGTAGACGAGAGCCATCCCCTGTACTTGGGTGTGTTGGGGATCTTCGGCAATCCCGGGCTGGAGGCGGCCAAGACCATTGTACAGACCAGTGACTTGGTGGTGAATGTGGGGGTGAATGAGTGTACCGAACTGTTAGCTGGGTCGGATGGGCTGCAACGTAGGGCGATGATCTCCATCATGCCCTCGGCCAATGCCGCGTCCAAGAACATCGGGTGGCAGACGGAGCACGATCTCTACGGCAACATCTGTGGCATTTGTGAGGAGTTGTGTGGGCGTATTGACACACTCATGGCCAAGCATCCGGAGGCAGCGAACACGTGGGACGACGGCAGCCAGCACTACACCCGCAAGAGCAAACGGGACAAAAACGACCCCAAATCCCAGAAGGCCTGGGACTACTTCCTGTCCGGCTCCTGGCGCCAACGCCAGGACGGAGACACCCCGGCCGACGCAGTGAAGTCTACGGGCAAGCAGCTCAGGGCCAGAGACTCTACCGCACGCTTCTCCATAGTAGAGGAGAGCGCAAGCTCCTATTGCCACCCCATGTCTGTGTTTGCTGCGTTGGGTGACCTGCTCAGCGCGGAAGACATAGTGGCGGTAGACACAGGCGACTCTACGCTGTGGTCCAGTCTCGGCCTGTGCCTGACCAAAGGGCAGCGTGTGCTGGCGGATCTGAGCCTGGGCACCATGGGCTACAGTCTGTGTGCGGGGGTGGCAGCCTCCCTCACCCACCCCACGGCCAAGGTAGTGGTGATAGTAGGCGACGGGGCGTTGCAGATGACGGTAGGCGAGCTGGGCATGGTGGCCCAGAACAACGTGCAGTCGTTGATAGTCATCGTGGTGAACAACGGGGTGTTGGGTCGGGTCCACTTTGGATTTGATCAGGTGCTTGGGGACAAGGTGAGTAACCCGGACTTCATGCTGCTGGCGAAGGCGTACCACGGGGATGGGGCACGGATTACGAATGAGGGGGAGATACTGCCAGTCCTCACCCAGGCCATGCATAGCAAGGGCCTGTTTATTGTGGAGGTGGTGGAGGATCCCGACCTAGCCGCACCCATGGCCACGCTAGTGCCGGACGTCAACTACTTCGACCACGAACGAGCGGAGTGCGATGAGTAGGTGTGGGTGTAGGTGCGTGTGTTCATGGGGTTAGTAACGTACTTACGTGTGGGAGAAGGGTGCGTCCTGAACGTTGGCACACGGAATAAGTAGCTGCACAGGGCTACGGTTGTCTAGAGGCACTTCGTAAGTATAATCAATAAAGGCTGTCGGATTATGTACTGTTTTAATAAGGGCTACGGTTGTCTAGAGGCACTTCGCAAGTATAATCAATAAAGACTGTCGGTTTATGTACTGTTGTAATAAGGTCTACGGTTGTCTAGAGGCACTTCGTAAGTATAATCAATAAAGAAATAAAGACTGTCTGATCATGTACTGTTGTAATATGGGTTACGGTTGTCTAGAGGTTCTTTGTAAGTATAATCAATAAAGACTGTCTGATTATGTACTGTTGTAATATGGGCTACGATTGTCTAGAGGCACTTCGTAAGTATAATCAATAAAGAAATAAAGACTGTCTGACTATGTACTGTTGTAATAAGGGCTACGGTTGTCTAGAGGCACTTCGTTAGTATAGTCAATAAAGAAATAAAGACTGTCTGATTATGAACTGTTGTAATCAGTGCTACGGTTGTCTAGAGGCACTTCGTAAGTATAATCAATAAAGACTGTCGGATTATGTACTGTTGTAAAAAGGGCTACGGTTGTCTAGAGGCACTTCTTATGTATAATCAATAAAGACTGTCGGATGATGTACAGCTGTAGTAGTGAAGTCAGTCTGTCTGAGGACTATCTTCGCTCACTCTGGTGGCCTTGCATTTGAGCTATTCTTTTGGGTTGTAAGTCAAACGCCACTATCCAAAACAAGACAAAAATTAAGAACAATGCGACTTTACTTTACAGACCAGTTAAACGTAATGTCGGTTGTCGTCCACAGTGAACAGTTTCACATCATTCCCAGTTTACGTTTATTGTTTGCGTCTATTGTTTGCGTTTATTCTTGCGTATGTGCATGTATTGTTATGTACATCATGCGCTTGCAGTGCTGGAAACTTAACGCACCAACAAGTCTATCAAGCTGTAGCAGACCCCACAGTATGGCATATATCATTAACTATTGCAAACCAAACGGACCCATAACCACGGGTGGCATCCGTAAACCCTAAAAACCCTACAACCCGTGCAAGCGTGGGCTGTTGCATGGTAGGGGATTTCATGGCTGTGATTTGTTCAGCAGACTATGGCGCTACGTCCACTTCTTCGCGCCGAACCGCTTGGCCCTGGAGATGGTCGTTTTGTCTAGCGATACTCCCATATACGACAGCACACCTAGCACTACTGTCACGGTAACTAGGTACAGCCTGTGGGATGGGGCAGTGGGTGTAGTATCAGACAAAGGGTATGTGAGCTATACAGGGTTATCTGACAAATGCATGTGGGCTGAACAGGAAGAAGATATGGACACACCCATAAACACAGTAATACCAACCTACATCATCAATGGATTCAGATAAGATGATATGGTCACACTTATAAACACAGTAACACCCACCACCTACATGATCAATGGAATCAGATAAGATAATATGGTCACACTTATAAACACAGTAACACCTACTACCTACATAATCAATGGATTCAAATAAGATGATATGGTCACACTCAAAAATACAGTAACACCCACCACCTACATGATCAATGGATTCAGATAAGATGATATGGTTACAATCATACACACAGTAACACCCACCACCTGCATGATCAATGGATTCAGATAAGATGATATGGACACACGCATAAACACATTAATAAACGCAACCTACATGATCAATGAATTCA